ACATAAAGAATTAAATATTGGTGGATTATTTGATACCACAGGGTGTAGAGTATCTTCAATGTTTTCCAGAGTTGATTGATATTTTGATTTTGTAATCATCAGTGCTGAGAATGTCACTTCACATAAATACGTAGTACAAAATTGCAGAATTATGTTTAGGGTCACTTCAGAAATTGTCGGAAATTTTGTCCTACTCCCAAGCCAAAATTCATTTAACGATTTTTTAGGAAACTCAAGTTTTAAACCTATATCGCTTGATAACTTAACAAATTCTTCTTGAACTTTTAATGGCAGATGACTGATGTTTTTTATTTCAACTGAGTATGGTTTATGAACCCAACTTACTTTTTTAGAGTTAAAATTCGAAGGGAAGTATTTCTGAAAATGTGTTTCTAGGTACTTCAGATGATCAGTTATAACTCATACAATTAAATCTTTGAAAAAGTTATTTGCAATTATAAAATCATCTGTAACTGTAAACATTTCTAAAGAACTATTTTCCACCTTATTCTTCCATATGTTAATTTTTTTAGTAAAACTTTAAATTTTATCTTTCACCAGAAATATATTACAATTTTTTTCCTTTAAGTGACATGTTTAAATCATTGTTAAACATGTTAGGTACACTGAAACAAGAACAAAAATCTTAGTGGGGGCAATATGTGGCTTTCCTAGTACATACATAGAACTCAACCAAGAATAATGCCACTGGTGTTACACTTTATTTGCTGAAGTTGGGTGTGGATCATGTGTACCTAATGATTTGTGTTTTGGAGTTTCTGAAGAGACTCTACACACCTACAACCAGTATGTATCTTGGCTGACAGAAAAACAAAAGGAAGTTTACCACCTTGCTACAATTTTAACTCATAAGTTCAAAGTCTGCCTGACCCAGAAACAGACATTTTAAATGAAGATATTACATACTCTACCCCCAAGAACTAAGACAGCCCAGGGCTTCTACAAGTTCAGGTATAGGAAGGCAGGACTATTGTTCTGAAGAGGATCATGATCAGCTATCAACAAGCACTAGAATGGGACAAATTGGTCAGCAGGTCGCAGAAGAGCAAGGACTGTTGTATCCATGACAAAAATAACTGGGGAGACAATTACACATGTAGCCGGAAAGTAATGTCAGTTCTTACCAATGCAATAAAATATATGCCATATATAATTACACATGTTCATTGATGCCCTTATGCTAATTGCTGCATGCTCTTGTTTTATTTTTTTCAATTTTATGTTCATTTGCTTTGTGTTACCATTGTGTGTGTATTATATAGTTTGTTGACTATGCTTAGTTTATTGTTAGCTATATGCAAATCATCTTACTATTTTATATATCTTATAGCCTACAGTCATTTTGGCAAGGCTTGGACACATTGGCCTAAGTCATTAAAGACTCTGGGATTTCTCTTTTCTTTTCTGGGGAAAAGAAGAGGCTATCACAAGATCAGAAGTAGAGGTCAGAGTTTTTTCTACTATAATGAACATTTAAATCTCCTGGAGAGGGAAGAATATAAAATATCAGATTACCAATTGGGCCACATACACTTTTCCTGAGATTCTTTAGTACACAGCTCTGGGGATGGCTTTAAAATAATGTAGACTCTCCCCAAGTCACTAAAAAATTATCTCGGATTTGGGAGCATTGGCTTTTCCAAATACCCTCCAGTAGATTTTCTGAGGACAACAAATATCAAAACTGGGGGAGTCCTTTAACCCTAATATATATTACACATTTTGACCATTTAGTCTTGATACATTTATGCAGTGAGAATACATCTTAATCAACCAACCAATCAGTTCTAGACTTCAGACTAAGTGTGAAAAGTTGTTAGAAGTCACTGGATGAATTACACTGAAGTTTCAGAGGAAGTCTATTCCAAATGGGTGAGGAATTTGGTCATGCTCCGGGGAACTTGCATAAAATTAGGAGCTATCTCATAACCAGAAAAAAGATTTCAAGGGTCTGACAACAGGGAAGGAGTGGGGACATCTAAGCTGAGCTGGAAAGAATCTTCAGCATAGGGGCAACAGAAGAAAGAGAAAGTAGGACTGAGATGTGGCATATCAAGGAGAGAATGAAGAGGGCTTTGGTATCTCAGAGCAGAAAACTTAGATTGATGCCACTAGTTTTACCTAGCTCTTCAAGGACCATGGGAAGTTCGTTCTTGGTCTGCTTTTTATCCAGCACTTCACCTCTCATATCTGTTTGCCTGTTTACAAACACCGTAATACATTCTTCTTTATTTCTTTACCAGTTGTTTTTGAATTTTGCTTCATCCACAAAGAGGCAGGGTATAGAAATAAGGTTAAGTGTAAATCAAAGAAGAGAGCCAAATCTCTGTCTAAATGTTAAGAATTTTCCTAACTGGCAGCTTGGAGTAAATATGATTGTATTCTTAACTTTTCACTTAATACAAACTCCTTAAAGCTTTAGAGGAGGGAACTACATGGAGCTAAGGGATCATGATGTTGTCTCTAGGCTTAAAGTGAACTAATTATTGTGACAATGTGTTATTCTTTCTTTCTTTTTTTTGGTGAAGTGACTTGCCCAGGGTTACACAGCCAGTAAGTGTCAAGCATCTGAGGCCAAATTTGAACTCAGGTCTTTATGAATCCAGGGCTGGTGCTCTATCCACATCTAGCTGCCCTGACAATGTATTATTCTTAAAAGACAGGTTTTTTTTTGTTCATATTGATGGTTTAATTGCTATAGGGAATTTCTATTAAGGAAATTACCTTTATCAAAGCATATCTTCAACCGTTTAATAACTTACCATCTTAGAGAGTTGCCTGGGATACCAAGAAGCTAAATGATTTTCCTAGGGTCACAGCTACAGTATGTGTCAGAGGAAGAATTTGAACCTAGGACTTTTGACTCTAGAGTGAGTACATTTTCCTACTGTACCACTCAGCAAAGGCAGAGTATATTCACTATACCACATTGTCTTGTTTCTTTCACACATGTACATACATGCATACACACATATGTGCCTATCCCTAATAGCAGCTTTGTGGTGGTAATAAAATGGAAATAAAGTGGAATGTTTATTGATTGGAGAATGATTAAACAAAATGTGGTACATGAAAATATGAGTGGTTGATTAGAATCCCTGATCAATTAAATAGCTCAATCCAATTGATGAAATGACAGTGTCTGACTTTGAATGGCCCATTTGCAGTTTAAGTGTGTAGGGGTAAAAAGTCCATTTTGACTTTAAGTGGCCACATCTGTACATTAAAGAATCAGGAAACTAGACCGAAGGTTGGCAGAAATAATAGGCTTGCCCCTGAAAGAGGATTCTCTGGATTCCTATTCTCTGTCTACTCATTTATGGGAAGGGACTGGGAGGATTCAGTTGAAAAGAGAACCAACTGTAGAGAAGGAGCTTAATTTTTGAAGATTGTACTCTTGAAGAGTACAACAAGGTGGGTAGGGAAGGAATTTCTTCCTGTCTTCTGTTAGTAACAACATGAAACATTTGTTCACAGACAGTGTGAGATGGAAATTCTAGGACATTGCCTCCAGGAGCCCAATCTTCTGTTTAGAAAAAAGTATGAATGGAAAACTTGGTGCCTGGAGTTGGGATTCTGGGAGATTCTGGGTGCCTGGGCACATGGCAGTTTCCAGAGCTGAGAATAGAGGGGTTGGGGATAGCAGAGAAAGGAAGGAGAGGCAAAACTGAGCTAGTAGGGTAAAGATTCTAGTTCTTTCTGAACGTCTGGCACATAGTAGGCCCTTATTAAATACCTGATGATTGAACTGATTCCAGGGGAATAACATACAATGACCACAATAAAGAAAACAAACAAACCCCAAAACAATCACTAAAATTCAACTGAACTCAGATTAAATGCAATGACCAGTCTTGGTAGGAGACAACAGATCATGAAATAGAATAGACTTTCCTTCTGTAGGGAGATGATTGACATTGTAGCTAAGACCCTGAGAGAACAAACAAAAAAACCTGACAGAAGGCTTTTTGCTGTTTCCAGGTAAGAGTTTTTGCCTATTCTGAAAGAGTTGTAGCAAGAAAAAGTCTATGGGCTTGAAGCGAAAAGAGTATGGCAGTGTCTGACTTTCCCTTGAAAAAGATATCCAAGGAGTTTACTTGAGTCAGAAGACTAGTTTCCAGTTGATCTGAATCTAGTAGAGACTAGAGACCACCAGGGAGCAGTAGGGGCAATGAGATGGCATTAACTATAAGGCATCAGTGGTCCTTTACCCCTGGAAGCCCAAGTTGCTCTTCCACACAGTGACTGTGTCTTTCTCCAGCCTATTCTTGTCCACTCTTACTGATGTAATACACGTATTTGTGGGAGATTGTACCCTAAGTTTATGGGGGGAAATGTTTTGTTGCTATTCTTATTACTATGCCATTTCATTAAATGCCTTCACTTTGAACAACTGTTTTCTGGCTATTAAAGATAAACACATTTGTGGGGGTTCCTGAGCCCCTTTTTAGGGGATGGGAACTTGCACCTTGAACCTGAGGTAGCCCTTCTCTGTGGGACCAGCCCTAAGATTTGGGGTGTAGCCCTCAGCACCACAAAAATTGTTTTTCCCCCCTACACATAACTATCTAAAAACTAAACTAAAGAGGTCTTCTCACTACAGTATATCCTCCATACCTTTCCGGGGTGTAGGACTGATCTTACTTAAACTTCACAAAAGGAGATTGCGAGTTCTTAACCTTTCTTGTATTGTCATGGCCATTTGGGTAGTCTGGGGAAGCCTAGGAACATTTTCTTAATATGTCTTTATATGCATAAAACAAAAATACATGTGACTACAAAGGCAATCAGTTATTGTGGAAATAAAGATTCAATTTTTCCCATACAACTTCATGGACCCCCTAAAATCTATCCACTTTCTCCCAGGCAGTAAACACCTCCCTCCTCACCCTTAAGGGGGAAAAGGCCCCATCCTCGGCTCGGTGGGAGGTCAGGTGGGGGCGGGTGTTCGGCGCTTGCTCCTTTTTCCTGTTCTGTGGTGGATGTGCTCGGTGCTCGGCGGGGCTCCCTGGCGATGCTGGGGAACTCACTAGTGGGAGAAGCGGCGCTCACCAGGCTGGCAGCTCTTGGTGCCTTCCCCTTCCTGGCCTGGCATTCTGGGGCTGTGGCAGGAAAAAGGAGAAGGAGGTCCTACGGTTGGCTGACAGGATTTTGCTTTCTCCGGGCCTGGTGAGCGGTACCTGGAGACAAGGATGAGGCGGTGATTGGCCTCGGCTGGACTTACGGAAGCGCCATGAACCTGTTGCCTTCTAACCCTCACGGCAATGGACTCCTCTTCGCAGGCTTCAACCAGGACCACGGTAAGGAGACCGCGTCTACTGGCTTTTGTCAACCCGCCGCCCCTTTAGCCCGGCCGGACAGGCCTGGTCCTCGCGCTCCTTCCTTCTTTCTCTTCCCTTCTTCTTTGCTTGGCGCTGCAGAGCCCGTCGGGAACGGCCTCGGCTGTCTCCTCCAGCCCGCGGACTTGCGGCCCGGTCCGGGGAGCGGGGCGGCTCTGGCCGGATCCTGGGCCTTCCCTCCGGCCTAGCCCACTCCAGTACTTCCTGTCCTAGTCCATTTGTCTTTAAGTCCCCGAGGCAGGAGGGTGGGAGGCGATAGAGGTGGACTGAGAAGACCAGGGAATTCTTGGGCAGGTTTTCTTTTCTCTTAGGCCTGCAAGTTTGCCCATTTCTCCCTGCTTCGAATCCCCTTTCCTTGCCTTTCTGCCCAGGTCTCACCTTCTTCCTGATGCACCGTCCCCCTCCCTCCCCCCATTTCTAGCTTTTATGGTTTGCCTATTCACTTTTGCTGGAACCGTAGTAGCAATTTTGACTACAGAAAATCCCCTCGTATCCTTTTAAATAAAAGAAAAAACAAAACAAAAAACCCTTTGGCTTGAACTAATGACCTGTTCCAAATAACACCCCCTTCTTCCTCCAACACCTCCCCCCCCCCCCAGGATCTTAGGAAAACTCCCAGTGATAAAGAAATGGAGTCATGTTTAATTTCCCCAGACACTTTTTTCCATTTTCAGGTTTCCTACAAACGAGACTTACGGGACTGTCACAGAAGTTACCTGTAGTTGTATTCACCATTCTCTTGATATAAATCCTAATTTAAAAAATTGCCACTTAATACTTTACATAGCTGTTGGCTGGAGACAGTTGTCCACCCTCCTCCCCCTCCCGATTACTTAGCAATGTAAACCTTGAGAGCTATTTTCTATATGACATTTGAAGAAAATCTTGAGAGTATTTCAGACTTTAAGTTCTGTATTATTCTGACATTTAAGTACAGTATTAAGTTTTATAGCAATGTTGGAGATGGTGGTATTCATAAAAACAGATTTTGGGTCTCTGAGCTCCTTTTTATCTCATTATTATTCATATGTAATAGGATCTTGGGTTTAGAACTGGAAGGGATCCTAAATGTTGAGTCCAGTTCCTTCGTTTTTTCAAATGAAGAGACTGAGGCCCACAAGGTTAAGTAACTTGCTCAAATTCACACTGATATAAAATGGCAGAGCCAGAATTCAGACTATGGTCTATTACTTTCTAGTTAGTATCTTTGCATTCTTTTTGTATTTTTTCCTAAAAATTCGTCTGTGGAGGTGGGGTTGAGAGGTGAAAGTTTTAGCCTTTTGTTATAAACTTTCAGGGAGAGAAGTATTTTATGAACGTTTTCTGACTTTATTAGTTAACATAATTTATAGTCAAGAAATTTGCATTTGCATAACACTTTTAACGCTACAAAGCTATTTCAAATCTACTGTCAATTACTATCCTATACTTCAAAGTGATCTGTACTAACAGGGTTATATCAGGACTTATTCCATCTCTTAAAAGACTTGGCTTCCAAAAGAATACGTAAAGGGAAAAAATTAATTTATTTTTGATTTGAAATAGATTTGTAGAGTTAAAAATGTTATGCAAATGTAAGTTATTACTGTCATTTATACTTGTCATTCAGTCAACCTATTAAGTGCTTGCTACATGTTGGGAATTGGATGCCAGGGCAGAAGTAAAATTGACCCTGCCCTCAAGGCCTTGCATTCAATTGGGGAGACAGCATGTAAACAATTGTATACCAGAAAGAAATTGGTTTTAGAAGGAAGTAGGTAAAAATAAAGGATAATCAAATTAATTTTGGTAAATATCTTTTTGAAACTTATTTCCAGGATAAACATAAATTTATGGTTACAAACATTAACAAACAAATGCATGAATGGTAAAATTAAAATGAATTAAGTGTTTTAAATAAAGATTAAAAAATGCAGTACACCAAGAACATTTAATTATATGATACAGACTGTTACATTAACATTATTTATCTTTCCCTAATACTTATATCTTTTCTTTAGGGACAGTTTCTGCATTCCATATTCCCTTATGCTTTATATACATAGCATATACCTATGTCAGGTTATTCATACCCTTTTTTCCTTTTTACCTAAAATATAATTGAATATAAACTTCTTCCATTTATTGTAGCTTATTTGGGGTAGCAGTGGTAGTAGTGTTTAGTAAAGGGCAAGTGACAATTTACTCAAAGTGTGAAATATCTGTACTTAGTTTAGAGGCTAGGGTTCCCCAAAGAAACCGAAGGATGTGGGATCCTTCATTATGAGTTTCTGCCGGTTAGCAGGCTTTTGGGGGAGCATCCCATAGGCTCATTTATTTGACCATATTAATTCAGGAATTGAGAATCAGACTGAGGTGAAGATTTACCTAAACTAAAAAGGTTAAGATTACAGTGGAGCTATTTAGCCTCCTTAAGTGAATAACTTTATAAGACTACTAATTCTTCCATGGTTGACAATCTGTGTTGGTGAATGGAGTTTCCTCACAGGTGTTAGTTTACTATATCAATAAAATTTATTTTATTGGTCTGGAATTCTGGAAGTTTTAATTTAATTGGAAATATTTGAGAATGAATGGGAGTCATGTTTATAAAGGTCTAGAACTGATCATAACATAAGGTACAAAAAGCCAAAAGTAAGCCTAGGAAGTAAATAATACTGATCAGAGTCAGGGAGTAACACTAAGACTTACTTTAGTCTATAATTAAACCTCTGAAGTTTTTTTCCCCCTTTTTTAACCATTCTACATGTTATTTCCACTTGACCTAGTTTTTTTCTCAGGCAAATAATGCATCAGTTACATTATGGATTATAGTATAGGCAAAAATAGCTTTTTAGTGTCTGCCTCAAAAAAATCTCCTTGAAGAAAACTTTTCTTTTTCCCTTGTTTTCTCTTGTTGTCTCCTTGTTTTCCTCTTTACTGTCTGACCATTCCTTTTCAGTTCTCTTGCTAACTGTGAGGGTCCCACAGGGCTCTGTCCTGGGTCCTTTTCTTATCCTCTCCCATGATTCATGGAATGATTATGCTGATGATTCTCAGATCTTATCTGGCCTGAATTTTTCTATTGACTTCCAGTCTCCCATTTTTAACTTCTGTTTTGGCCAAAAACCCTGAGGGTCTTCCCCTCCCAGATTGCTTTTTTTTTTTGGGGGGGGAGGCTAGGTAAAAGAGGCCATTCCCCACCCTCACCCCCTCCATTTGTTACCTAGCCTTAATCACTGAATGGGCATTGCCTCCAACAAACTGAGCCCTGGGAAAGGCCTTAGCTTAAAAAGGCCAAAGTCTCCTAGTGCATCTGGGGCCATCTCCAGTCATCCTGATCTATATCTTGCCACTGGACCCAGATAGCTCTGGAGGAGAGAGTAAGGCTGGTGACCTTAGACAGCCCTGCCTCACTGAAATCCAGTTCACTTGCAAATCATGACATCACCTTCCTGATGTTATTGGTCCCCTTCAAGAATGAAGGACAAACAGCAACAGAAGTTGCTTATGGGACAGCTCAAACTCATTCTGTACTCGTCATAAATTCAACATTTCCAAAACTGAACTCATTGTCTTCTCCCCTCCAAGCCCCTCTTTCTTCCAAACTTCATTGTCTAGGGCATGAGTATCTGTAGTGTTATCTTCAACTCTTCATTCACACCTTCTCTATCCATTCTGTTGCCAAGTTTTGTTGATTTTTGTCTCCTTATCATCTCTTGAAGATAACCTCCTTCTCTAGTCTGACACTGTTACCATCCTGGTGAAAGCCCTCTTCACCTCACACCTGAACTACTGGTGTAATCTGCTCAGTTCAGTCTCACCACACTTTAGTCCATTCTCTACTCAGCTGTCAATGTGTTGCTAAAGCTTAAGTCTGATGATGTTACCTCCAGTCTAGTGGCCCCCCCGCTCACATCTACCTCCAGGATAAAATTTTAAATCCTCTATGCCCTTCCTACCTTTCCAGTCTTCCATGGGTAACACTCTATTACCCTTCCATGTATTCTGATCTCCAGTGACACTGGCTTCCTTACTGTTTGTCAAATAAGAGATTCCATTTCTAGACTCTGGGCATTTTCATTTCTTTTTTTCTTAAATAATTTCTTCTGGTTTTTATATCATCATAGTTTTCTGCAGTATCCTTTCCCTTTTACCTTTTGGAGAGCCATGCATGTAACATACTGTATTTTTTAGGGAAAAAAGAGGGGAAAAAAATCAACACAGCTGATCAATACATTGAAAAAGTCTGAAGACATGTGTGATGTACAATGTCTGAAGCTCCCACCTCCACAAAGGCGTGGATTGGGTGTGATCTCTCATGTCTCTTCTTCCTAGTCATACTTGATTGTTATAATTTTGCTACATTCAGTTTAGATTTTGTGGGTGTGGTTGTACTTTACATTTACATTGTTGTGTAGGTTGTTTTCTTGGCTCTGCTTACTTCACTCAGCATCAGTTCATATAGAGCTTTCCATGCTTTTCTATTTCATCATTCACATTTCTTATAGCACAGTAATATGGTTTGCTTAGTCATTCCAAAGTTAATGGGTATTTTGTTTCCAATTTTTTGCTATCAGAAAAAGTACTGCTATAAATATTTTAGTGTCCATGGGGACTTTCTTCTTAATAGTGGCTTCAAGGTATAGGAATTTTAATCACTTTGTTTGCATAATTATTTTGCTTTCCAAAATGGTACACCAGTTCATAGCTCCACCAAGAATGCATTAGTGTGCCTATGATCCCACAACCTCTCCAACATTGACAAATGTCATTTTTTTGGTCATCTTTGTCAATTTTCAGGGTGTGAGATGAATACTTACAGTTGTTTAAATTTGCATTTCTCTTATTAGTGATTTTATTCATTCATTCATGTGATTGGGAATACTTTGCAGTTCTTCTTTTGAGAACTGTTTATGTCCTTTGACCACTTAGCTATTTGGGAATGTCTGTTAGTCTTATATTTTTGTTAATTGTTTATA